GGTAGAGCGCTAGCCTTGAGCTGAAGAGCTGAGGGACAGTGTCCAGGCCCAGAGTTCAGGCCCCATGACTGGACTCCCCCCCCCCCAAAAAAAAAATTCTTCATCTTGAAAAAGCTAAGCATTCAGAGGGGTTGAAGGGAATTTGTGAGTGTAGATGTTTCAGTTGTGAAAGAACTCTTTGGAAACACCTTCAAATCCCTGTAACTCTCAAACAGAATTTTTATGCTTAAAGAACTGGACATACTAGGCATTGGTGGTTCACACATCTAATCCTAGCTACTCATGGTTCAAAGCCAGCATGGGTAGAAAAGTCTGAGCCTCTTATCTCCAATTAACTACCAAAAAACCTAGAGTTAAAGTGGTAGAGCCCAAAAGCTCCAGGACAGTGCTTAGAACCCTGAGTTCATGCATCAGGACTGGCACAAAACAAAAACAAGGAGCAGGCAGCTCTGGCTTTGAGGTTAGGGTGAGAGGGCAAGAGATGACACAGAATGAGGAGTAGCTGTGTTCTACTTCCCTTTGCAGACAGCCACCCCTTCCTCCCTGTTACCTGGGAATAGCTTTACCTTGCGCTCCTCAGTTTTCGGAGCTGGCTGTCCCACTGGGTCTACTGACTCTCCATTCACTGTGGGCAAGATCATGCCCTGAGTGAACTCTGAAAAGACAAAAGCACCAGCTCTGGGAGTTACTTCTTACCATCAGTTACACGAAGCTTGGTAAAATTAAATTATCCTAACCCAAAATGAGAAATAACCAGAAAAATATCTATTTTTATATCCTTACCTTTGGTCTACAGTAGACAGCTACATTAGTATGCTATAGAACACAATATGTTCACTAAGTATTACAACTTGCCAAATGTTTGCAAAGTCCACTTTTGAAGCTAACCAGTAAGTGGAGCAGCATTTAAGTGACTTCAAAAGTGGGTACTTGGACTGGAAATGTGGCTTAGTGATAGAGTGCTTGCCTAGCATGCATGAAGCCCTGAGTTTGATTCCTTAGTACCACATTAACAGAAAAAGCTGAAGTGGTGCCATGGCTCAAATGATATAGTGTTAGTCTTGAACAAAAGAAGCTCAGTGTCCAGGCCCTAAGTTCAAGCTCCAGGACTGGCCAAAAAAAAAAGAGCGGGTACTCTACCAGGCAACTTGGATGCATGTTGAGTCCCTTTCTTGACTTTGCCTTACCCCTAGAAAACAGCTACAACCAGATACATATTCAAGTAGTCTTTAGTTTACTGCTAGCCAACAGTAGCATCAAATGTCACTTAAAAAATGTCAAATAAAAAAGTCAAATATAACAGATAAAAACATTACTAATAGTTAATCTAATGTACCTAAACTATCACATTATCAATCTTAAAAGCTAACTGAAGCCAGGCACTGGTGGCTAATGTCTGTAATCCTAACTATTCAGGAGGCAGAGATCTGAAGATCATAGTTCAAAGCCAAACTGGGCAGGAAAGTCCGCCAGAAGTAGAGCTGTGGCTCAAGTGGTAAAGTGCTAGCCTTGAGCACAAAAGCTCAGGGACAGTGCCCAGGCACTAAGCTCAAGCCCCAGGACTAGCAAAAAAGAAAAAAGAAAAAAAAAAAAAAAGAAAGGTTTAACTAAGTTGTTTTACATTGCTTCTTGGAGCTCCCAAGTCTTCCAAATCCATCAATGCATCTCATTTAGATTCCCAAAGTTACTAGTCAACCTATTAGCACCGTGGCTCTAAATCCTTCCTTTTCTTATAAGCTAGCTAGCTTAGAGTGACTTTGAGATGAAATAAGTCCCTTCCCACCAAATCTTCATCCATCTGCTAAAGAAACAGTCTAGCCCCTTAATCAGAATCTGATAGATAGCAGGCTGCCTCCTCCAGTTTATGTCATCACTCAAGGGATACCTGTTTTGAGGGTGCTGATGTAAATCCCCATTGCTTCTCTGAGAAGTTTCACCCCTTCTTCCTTCATTAAGGCCACGAGATTTGTGTCAGGCTCATCTTTGGCAAGGCTCACACTAATCTGAGTGAGAGATCAGAAGTAGGCGGTAAATAACTCAAGAGACACATCATGGAATGTGGTTCCAAGCAATCAGTTAACGGCTAATGCTTCCAAAAGCAATGTGTGGAGATGGTGTATTCATCCAATCCCATTACTGTTCCTTCTTAAGTCCTCTGTCAAGGCAAAGGTGGCTCATGCTTGAAGCTAAAGCAAAGAAACTGAGTACAATTTCTGGAAATTTTCAGTGGTACCCTATAGCTAGAAACTCATCTGTAGACTGGTGTCTACTGCCTGAACCAGTTCTGGGCTATTCATTTTGGAAAATGTCATTTTCCTCATCTCAGACAAAAAGCATAGGGAGGGCTCAGATGAAGAGTTAAGACTCACAAACCTCCACTTCATCCACGCTGTTTTCATCAGACAAATTAGGGATCTCCACATGTCCCTTGTATTGTACTCCTGACTTAGAGGTACCTGTCAAAAGCAATGAAATGCTGTTAGCTTCCTCTTTTGCAGGAAAAGATCTATGCCTGAAGGACCTACCAGAGCACTACACCACTTAGGCTTTTTTTTTGGCCCCCCTTATCCTGAACCAACATCTAGTCTGACAGAATGCTACAAGGCAGATGTAATCCAGTGCCCCCATCCTCTCTCTCCTCACTCTTTGCTGAAGAACAACTAACAGTCCTGGCAGTGGAACTGACAGCCATATAAACTGGGCACTAGTATGAATTCTACTTGAGTCAACAGCCAACACAGTCATAATACTTGCTCTGAGAATATGTACATATCCCCATGTGACTGGTATATTAGAGGACAATTTAATCAAGAGAATTTCACCCATGAGAAACATTAGTTGAACACAGAAAACTACACCTAGCTTAACCTAGCATAGGAATGAGCAAAACATCCCTCAAAGCACCTGCTAATCACCTTAGTTAAGCACATGTTATATGCCACAACCACACATCATTGGGGATGGGCTGTTTCTTCTGACTCAGATGTCTCTCCTTATACAATTAAGCTGCAATCCTATTGTTTACTATCACAAAAAAATTTCAGACCTCTTATCAAGGCAAGACACCATTATCTAATAGTGTTTGTGTGTTTCTAGCCATTTAACATGAAATGTGTTTCTGATGGGGTAAATTTTTGTGGTGTTGTATCCCCAATGCCATTTTCCCTACAAACTTTGTTTTCACTGAATATTTTTTTGCATAGTTTGGCAATTTTTAGTAACATATTTGTTGAACTATATGTGAACTCCCAAATGAAATCAACATTTGCCTTCACCTCTCTAGACTTCATTTTCTCAAAGACTGGGCAAGCTATAAAGATATAAAATTCCTTCTAGACTACAATGTTTAGGTATACTTGAAAAATCATGAAGAGATGTATCTCTAGGTTCACCTTAGTATCATTTTCTTATTGATATTACATAGTACTAAATGCTTACTAAAGCACAAATTTATTCATGTTTTACCCCAGATACAGATGGTAGCTATTTTATACTCCCAGAGCTTTCTTTCTTTTTAACTTCAGCCCTTAAACTGTCAGGACCACCAAGTGAGGGGGATATGTATGGTCCCAATTATTTCCTAACGTGGTCACAGATGGGTCATTACATCAAAGAATATATAGGACAGTCCCAATTTATAGCCACACCAGAATCACTAGCACAGTGGTCTGATCTTTAAGATTCACACTGAACAGTTAGAAAATGTAAACTATGGAAATATCATCTTATATACCCTGACAGACAAGGGCCAAAAGATACAGTGCCCAGTCAGTTCGTTGGTGGTGACTTATAAGACTGAGTGCCCCATGGTGACAGGGAAATTTTAACATCTCATGCTGCTTTCTTCCCATTCTCCCTTCAACAGTTCATTACTACTCAAAAACTTCTTTTCTCCAGCTCCTTAACAGGTCAGCAGAAATGCAGTTAGCCTCTTCCTTCTCTGACCGACCAGCAAATACATACCTGTCCAATTCAGTTTGACGTTCCATTCATAAAAGAAGATAAGTTTGCCTTTTCGATTGTTAATAGATGCTTCTCCATCAAGTTTATTCACTTCGGTCACCTCACACTTGCCCTCCTCATTCTGTACCCGAACAGCCAGAAACAGGGTCTTCAGCTTTTCTGTGGACCAGTTAGAAGCATCCCTCTCTGTCCTGAAAAAACAGAAGTAAACCTATGGATCAGCAGTCAAACAAAGGATATACACGGCTGCCTTTAAGAAGGCAAAGTTAAAGGAGGCTGGACAGACAGGTGAAAAAGAACACAAAACTCGTAGTTCCACTCCAGGATGTCCACAAACACATCACTGTTAGGAAGGAGAGACACTGCATTACTGCCAACAAAGGCAAATGCTGTAACAGTACAACTTAACGAGAAAAGTTATGCGGTACATTATGACATTTTATGTTTTAAAAGGGCACCCCCATTTGGCCAAGAGTGCAACTGCACACACTGCAGAGAGGAGCACAGATGAGCACAGAGTACGGCATTTGGCTAAAAGGACCAGGCAGGTCCTCATTCATTAGCAACATTGCTCTCAGCCTGTTAAGATTCAGACAGCTTTAAAGGACGCAACACATTCTATGTCCTCTGGTTGACCAAAAAACAAGTCTAGACTTCAAAACTAACCATAACAAAAAATACTGCCAAGCACAGTGAAGAGGAGGGTGAAAAAAGATTACTCTGCTTTTCCAATCAACTATTAAGTAACAGTCAACAACAACAAAAAGAGCTGCAACCAAATTGCATTACGAACGAAAGTTCAGTAGAGTTTAAAGTAAACGCTGTTTATCGAAGATTTCATGGAGGAGGGAGAGCTTTTAAGGGCAGTATAACTCAGTATAACTATAAAATACAAAACCACGATCGCCGGGCTACCCGGAGTCCAAACACAAACCAACTTCATAGTTCCGGATGTGAGGCTGCAGGGTCTTCAGCAGCCTGGCGCTTGGCCGAACGTAGTCCAAACCTTCTCCTGGAGCACCTGTGCCTTACAGTTGACTTTTCACTTTGACTGTAAGCCACAAAGCAGAGATTATGGCTCCTGGGGCCGGAGATTTCCCCAGCAGGCTCCCGACACAATCAAAAGGCCTTTGGGTCTCGCTGACTGCGGCCACGTGTAGGAAGCATCTTCCTGCTCCAGGCTGGATGCAGCAATTGGGGACGTTCTGTTCTCTGTCTGAAATTGCTCTTTGGGACGAAGCTTCGCCCGCGGACCCCTCTCGTCCCCGACACTGAGACTAGGCTAGGGGTGCTGAAGAGAACCCCTTCCCCTGCCACACGAGGAACCCACCCATCCCCTGATCTCAGGCCAGGCCTGCCTGGGCCCCAGCTCTGTCCGCGCCAAGGTCCCAGGAACCCCCAAACCCAAGCCTGGTGCCGGTGCTCCTGCGGCCTTGCCTTGCTGGCCCTCACCAGTGCCAGTTGTTGACGTTAGTGGCGTCCGCCCGCTCCTCCACGATCCAGCGTGGGTCGCCCTCACCCCACTTGGCCATCGGCTCTCCTAGCGCGCCGCCACCAGCTCCCAAGCAGCCGCAGTCACAGCCTCAGGACCGCTCGGTCCCAGCCGCCCGGCAGCGCCTGGAAACTACTAGAAGCGGCCGCAGCACCTCCTGGCTTGCTTTTCCCTCCACCCCCACCCCTCCCCGCCTCAACTTCCGGCTCCTCCCACTCCTACCGGCTACTTCCGTTCCAGCTTGCCTAACTGTAGGTTCCGCCTGTTCTGAAGTCCTCACAAACGCCCTCAGATTATCGCCAAAGGGGCCCCAAACCCAGCCCTTCACACTACCATTCCTCACCTGTAGGGACACAAAGGACGTGGTCCCTTTGTTTCCTTGGTCTCTAAATCGGTCTTGCTGAGCCTTCTGGGAATTGTAGTCCTGTTAAAGGACCCTCTGTCTAAGCGCGGAAGGTCGCGTTGAAAGTAAAGGAAATGATCTAGCACGTGCGCTAAGGTTTCTGGGGGATGTAGTCAAGAAGTCTCGCGGGTCTATCGCGACAGTTCCCGACGGCCGGGGGAAAAGAACTACAAGTCCCATGATGCTCTCCGGGAGCTCTCTTTACTCTGACTCCCTCCTCCGCCCCCGTGAGTGTCCTCTTCCTCTTTTTCCTTATGCAGCGTAGACTGATTAGAAAGGCTGGTCTGGCGGCGGAGACTGGCGCTGTCCTGAGAGGGAGGGCTCGGTGTGGAAGAGGTGAGGGTGTCCCGGGCTCTTGGGCCGCGAGTCTGTCTGAGTCATCCCTCTCCTCATCCCAATCCTCTTCCTCCTCTTCTCTGGGACATCCCTGCGTCTCTGTTCCGGCCTGACTCTCTATTCAGGGCCAGTCTTGCGAGCCAGGCTACGCCCCAAGATTTACTTCAGAACTTGACATTTGGTTCTGAACCAACAAAACCCAGGGATCCGCCGGGCTCTGGTGAGTGCGGTAGATCCGTGGCTTCCTGAACGTTCGCCCGCGGTTACCCGGTTTTAATCCACATTCTCTGGCTTCAGTTCACAAACCTTATTTTGAAACTGAGTCTGTTTTCGATATCTGGTTTCTAGAGGATCCTGAAGGAGGGAGGGGTGGTGTGTGTGTGTATGTGGGTGTGTGTGTGTGAGGGTGGGGGGGGAGGGTGTGTGGGAGGGTGTGTGTGTAGGGGTGGGTGGGTGTGTTTTGGGAGTGTGTGTGTGTGTGAGGGGGGGGGGGAGGGTGTGTGTGTGTGTGTGTGTGAGGGTGTGTTTTGGGAGTGTGTGTGTGTGTGTGTTTTGTTGTGTTTTCCTGATCCTCCTAGTTCTGTGTCTTGTTCCTCTTGCATCTGTCACCTTTTCCTGGGGCTCTCAGAATACAGGTCAGACGTCTGAAGTATTTAACATCATGTGAAGCACATTTCTTAAGCACTATTAAAATTGTACTTAAGGTTCTGTAACGTTTGGAGCTATTAAAACATTATCACTTTCCTGGCCAAGTAAATCTAGCTTCTCATGTGACACTCTTAAGTACAAATTGGTGTTAAACTGCCATTGTGTGGTTGAAGAAAAGATTCCAGAAATTCTCCAGTGCAATATTGCATTTATCTGTGTATATTTATCGTAGGTGTGCCTTAGCTCTTCCAGGAATGAAAAGTAGATAGACTATGCAAGACAGTGAAAATAGTCTAGGAAGCAGAAAATCTTGATTATAATTTGGAATAGATGTGGTAAACAAAGCTGCTTTGATATTTAATCCTTTTCATACCTCCTTTAAACATGGAAAAGATAACAATTCTACCCCACAGGATTATTCCGAGAATTAAATGCACAACAAAGTGCTTTTTGAAATAATGAAGTTGTACTTGTTCCAGAGACATTTATTTTTATTTATTTTTTGTCAGATATGGGGCTTGAACTCTGGGCCTGGGCGCTGTCCCTGCGGCAAGCGCTCTACTGCTTGAGCCACAGCGCCACTTCTGGTTTTCTAGTGGTTTATTGGAGATAAGAGTCTCACGGATGTTCCTTCCCCGGGTGGGCTTTGAACTGTGATCCTCAGATCTCAGCCTCCTGAGTAGCTAGGATTACAGGCGTGAGCCACCGGCGCCCAGCTCCAGAGACATTTATATGTTGATTTTTTTTTTTTTTGACCAGTCCTGGAGCTTTAACTCAGGGCCTGGGCACTGTCCTTGATCTTCTTTTGCTCAAGGCTAGCACTTGAGCCATAATGCCGCTTCCGGCTTTTTCTGTTTATGTGGTACTGAGGAACTGAACCCAGAGCTTCAGGCATGCTAGGCAAGTACTCTACCGCTAGACAAGCCACATTCCCAGCCTTCTTGCAGAATTAAAAAAAAAAATTAGGAAGCTTTTTCCAACACACCATGATTAGTTAGTAAAAGTTAATTATAGGCATTCACTTTCTGTCAGGCACTAAGCACTGTACAGTTTATCCTTATAAAAATCTTTAATGTCCCTATTAGAGAGATGATGGTGAAAAGATGTTGCTAAGTAAACCAATACTAAAAGGAGCTAGTATGTAGTATTTGCTTTCTGTTGGGCATTTTAGGTTTTCTGAGTATTTTTTCTTCACTGTAATCCTATATATCCTATAATCTAGGATACCACTTTCTCTGCAAGGTTTAAAAGACACCTATTTTGTTTGGAATTAGAAAAGCCAAGATTTGAAGTCAAGGCTGCTTAGCTACAATGACTGTACTTGTACCACCACATGCAATGATTTTTTTTTAATGTCTATTAAGCTTTTCTATGTCTATTTTAATGTCTATTAAGCTTTTCTGAATCCTGAAATTAAAAGTAGAATGGAATCTTTTCAGTCATTGCTGGGTTCAGTAGGAATTAGTGATGGCTGCTTGGGAAGAGACCAATTAGCAGAAAGTTCCCACCATATATCATTGCCTTCCGTTATCCTTCAGCTGAAAATGGGAAGGCAGAATTGTTAAGTCCTTCAAAAGCCTCAATAGAGCTCCCATGATGAGTATTTCTAAAGCTTTTATTTAGAAAGGTGCTGTTGGAATATAAGGAAAAGCCAACTAATTATTTAGAATTTGTCATTGTACCCTTTGAGGTTACTTTTGGTGTTATGAAAAATTGAGTATTTATTCTTGGCCTAGCAGGAGTGAGGAACTTTTTGTGTACTATGAGCCACTTAGAAATTGTAACATTATTTGTGGGTCATACAAAATTATTAATATAGGGGCTGGGAATGTGGCTTAGTGGTAGAGTGCTTTCCTACCATGCATGAAGCCCTGGGTTCAGTTCCTCAGTACCTTATACACAGAAAAAGCTGGAAGTGATCCTGTGGCTCAAGTAGTAGAGGGCTAACCATGAGCAAAAGAAGCTCAGGGACAGTACCTAAGCCCTGAGTTCAAGCCATGGGACTGGCAAAAACAAACAAACAAAAAACCAGTATAAGCAGACAGGCTTAGCTAAGAAGCATCAAAAAGGGTATGTGTCTGTCTTGTCATGTGCCAAATGATTTTGTGGGCATATATAGTGTTCTCTACCCCTGGAACTAATAGTTTTCACTCAAATCCCAGTTGACATTGATAATTTAGTTTGTAATGCTAAAAGAAAAAAATTTTTTTCAAGGTGAAATCAAATTTTAGAGAACGTTATAGAAGAGACTAATGATCTTTTGACTATGCATTTTCTTCCCATGATCATGCTCTCATTTTTTTTTCTTTGCAGTGGGGTCCACTATCAGATTTGAACTCAGGACCTCACACTTTCTCAGTGGGCACTATCAGTTGAGCCACACATCCAGCCCAACATTTTGGTGATTATTTTTAGAGATGGAGTTTTGAAAGCTTTTTTTGCCCAGATTGGCTTTGAGTTGCCATCCTCCAAGTCTAAGCCTCTTGACTGGCTAGGATTATGGATTTTTGCCACTGGTACCTGGTTCTTTTCCCAAATTTTGACCAAGTTGTTGATAAAATAATTACAACTTGAAAATACAGGCAAAATATTCTGTTTCATTGCTTTTCTTTCATTCTTTTTTTTTGGGGGGGGGTCGGGTCGTGGGGCCTGAACTCAGGGCCTGGGCGCTGTCCCTCAGCTCTTCAGCTCAAGGCTAGCACTCTACCACTTGAGCCACAGCGCCACTTCCGGCTTTTTTCTTTTTGCTTATGTGGTGCTGAGGAATTGAACCCAGGGCCTTGGGCATGCAAGGCAAGTGTTCTACCACTGAGCCACCTTCCCAGCCCTCTTTCTTTTAGGCATTTTAAAAGTCAGGTACCAGTGGCTCATGCTTGTAATCCTAAGCTACTAAGGAGGCTGAGATCTGAGAATCGCAGTTGGAAACCATCCCAGGCAGACAAATCTAAAAAGTAGTATTTTTAATTAACTAACCCCACCCCCCAAATAAAGGCCAGAAATGGAAATGTTGCTCAAGTGGCAGAGCCTTGCATGATACTCAGGACCTGGGTTCAAGCCCCAATAATGGCATACAAAAAAAAAAACAACAAAAAGCAAATATGAGAATGAGATCCTTATCAGTTTTATTCACTATAGTATTCCCAGAGCCTAGAACAGTTCCTTAGAGATGCTGAATACATGAATGTCATTCCTCAGTGTTTTTTGTGTGTGCTCTGACCAGTCCTTGTGTTTTTATCCAGCTTTGTATTTACAAAGTCTTCTAGTGTTTCCCAACATACACTGATAACGTTACACATCCATGTTCTGGATACTCTGGCTCTGTTCTAGGTCCTTCAGGAGAAGGACTGTATCATGTATTTTGTTGTTGTTGTTTTAATTTTTGCTGTTCCTCCTGAGGCTTGAATTCTGGGCCTGGTGCTGTCCCTGATTTTTTTATGCTCCAGGCTAGTGTTCTACTTAAGGCACAGTTCCACTTCTGGCTTTTTGTAGTTAATTGGAGATAAGAGTCTCATGGATTTTCCTGCCAGGCTGGCTTCAAGCAGTGACCCTCACATCTCACCTCCTGAGTAGCTAGGATTATAATCGTGAGTACCGGTGCCTGGTGATACACTTTTGATATCCCTTAAACACCTCAAAGAGAATCTTGAACAAAATAGAAGTTCTAGTAATTAATGCCTATTTCTGTGTAACTAGAGGGTGAAATATATGACCTCACCAGTTGAAAACCTATGGATCTTCTTTTATATGGCATGTTCAGTATTTGCCTTATTAGATTCTTTTCTATATACCTAATTTCTGGGATCAGTTAGTGGTAAAGAATCTAAAGCTTTTGGAGCTCTTTAGGGAGAGACCTAGAAAGGGATATGTATCTATCTCTCTCACCACAGATGAATCGGACAAAAGGTGATGAGGAGGAATACTGGAACAGCTCTAAGTTCAAGGCTTTCACTTTCGATGATGAAGATGATGAACTGTCACAGGTAGGCTTCTATAGACAACTGCTGAAGGTCTTATCCTCTAGGAAACCACTCTAAAATTACTTCTTTTATACTCTCAGGTATCCTGGCTTTATTTTTTTAATTGTGAAAATACTGTACAGAGGGGTTACAATTACTTGGGCAAGATAATGAGTACATTTCTTATCAAGCATTGTAGCTCCTCCTTTGTTTCCCCTTCCCTTTCCATCCTCCCCCCCTCCCCCGTATCCTGGCTTTTGAACATGTCTTTATTAAGCTAAGAAATGTGTGAGTCAGGTCTTCACAAAAACCTTTGTCCTTCCTTCCTTCCTTCCTTCCTTCCTTCCTTCCTTCCTTCCTTCCTTCCTCTTTCTTTCTTCCTTTCTTCCTTCCTTTCTTTTGTTAGTCCCTGGGGCTTAAACTCTGAGCCTGGTCACTGTCCATGAGCTCTTCAGCTCAAGGCAAGTGCTCTACCACTTGAGCCACAGTGCTACTTCCAGTTTTCTGGTGGTTTATTGGAGGTAAGAGTTTCATGGACTTTCCTGCCCTGGCTGGCTTTGAACCATGATCCTCAGATCTCAGCCTCCTGAGTAGCTAGTATTATAGGCGTGAGCCACCGGCGCCCGGCTGTTGTCTTAATTCTTGCGATGAGATCTTGTTATGTTGTCCAAACTGGTCTTAAATTCATGGGTCTAAGCAATCCTTCTGCCTGGGTCTCCTTGAGCAAATGCCACTATGCCCAGCTAATTTATTTTTGGAAGATGACTTAGACTGGAAGATTTATTTTTTATTTTTTTATTTTTTATTTTTGCCAGTCCTGTGGCTTGAACTCAGGGCTTGGGCACTGTCCCTGAGTTTCTTTTTGCTCAAGGCTAACACTACCACTTGAGCCACAGTGCACTTCCTGCTTTTTCTGTTTATATGGCACCAAGGAATTGAACCCAGGGCTTAATGCATGCTATACAAGCACACTACCATTAAGCCTCATTCCCAGCCCAAAGAGTTATTTTTATTCATGTTTATTTTACAAAAGAGGAAATGGTCACTTTTGGATAGATGAATAAATTTATTAAAATATTTGCACAGCAAGTCTTTGTCAGGAATATGATTAGAACTCAAAAGTGGTTTGGATTCATCTTAACTCTTTTGCCTATGCAATGATTGGCTAGAATGCAGATTCTTTGCAAAAAGCTAGGCTTTTGATGAGTAAAGTTATTGATTATTTTCAAGTTCCAGTTGCTCAGCATTCGTTTTCAAAGAAAAAGATAGAAAGGAATGATTGTCTCTGTCTGTCTGCCTGCAGTTAAAGGAATCCAAGCGAGCAGTGAATAGCCTTCGAGACATTGTGGATGATGATGATGACGATGACCTGGAACGAGTCAGCTGGAGTGGGGAGCCTGTGGGAAGTAAGTAGAGAGGTGGTAGAGATTATTTATAGTCAAGGTTCTCATCATAAACGCACTGGTCCACAAATGCACAAAGTCCTGGTTTCCTCCAAAGAAAAAGAAAAAGAGATTAGACTCTTACCAGATAAGCACACATCTGAAAGGTGAACCTCAAGAGATATTTGGGTGCTGAAGTTGACTCTAATATATAGTCATATTTGAGAACTCTGAGGTATTCGTAAGTACTTGGCAGAACTTCTTAGCCACCAAGTCTTACTGCCTAAGCCATTATATAATAACACTTCATACCTTTGCAGTTTCATTTTACACACATTCAGACATGCATGCACACATTTACAATTTTTTGGTGGTGCTTGGGTTTGAATTCAGGGTTCTACACTTGAGCTATCCTCTTTGGTTCTTTTTTGCATTAGTTAGTTTTTGGATAAAGTCTCATGATTTTGGCTGTGATTCTCTTATCTCCTACCTATGGACTACTGTATAATTAGGATCACAAATGTGTACTACCACCTTTGTCTGTCTTTTTGCCTTCTGATCTCTGCTTCCTAAGTAAGATGAGATTACAGACATGAGCCATCATACCAGGAAAAATATGTTTGTTTGGTTGGTTGGTTAGAGCTGGTACTAGGACTTGAACTGAGGGCCTAGAAGCTGTCCCTTAGCTTTTTTGCTCAAGACTGGTGCCTTCCCACTTGAGCCACAGCTCGACTTCCAATATTTTGGTGGTTCATTGGAGATAAGAGTCTCATGGACTTTCCTTCCCTAGTTTCTTGACTAGCTAAGGTTATAGACATGAGCCACTGATGCCCAGCTAAGAAATGTTTTAAGTTAAAATGAATAAATAGGAGATACTATATAACATGATTAAAAATCAAAAGTATTAAAGGTGTACATTGACAAATTTTCCTTGATACTATTACAATCATCTCAATTCTCAGTGCCTGCCCTCTCCTGCCCTTCCCCTGCAAAAGCCTTTACTGCTGCTCCCTTATTATATAACTGTCTGGTTGGTTTACATTTAGAGATGCTCATAGGCATACCTATTTTTACCCCAGTGTTTGTACAAGCAGTAACATACTGTGTACTTAGCTATTTTTATGTGATAATGGGGCTTGGAGAACTTTCCATATCATATAAAAAGCTTGTTTTCTCTTTTTTTGGTCCGTCATGGAGCTTGAACTCTGGGTCTGGCACTCTCCCTGAGCTCTTCAGCCCAAGGCAAGTGCTCTGCTACCACTTGAGCCACAAGCCACTTCCAGTTTTCTAGTGGTTTATTGGAGATAAGAGTCTCACAGCCTTTACTGCCCGGGCTGGCTTTGAACTGTGATCCTTAGATTTCAGCTATGATTACCAACCACTGTGAGCCATCAGTGCACAGCTATAAAGCTTTCTTATTCTTGTTTTGTTTTGTCTTTTTAAGCAGTAGCATGGTATTTCATTGTATGGATTACCATAATTTATTTAACTAGTCTACTATGGTGAATTTTAGATTGTGTCTAACCTTTTGATATTTTTGTTCTTATCAGTAACCTTGTATTCTGACACACAAATAAGTGAAAGATCATTTCTTGGGGTTGAATGACAGGCATTGGCTATTTGTCATATTGGATAATTATTGCCAAATTGCCCACCATAGGGCTTATGCCAGTTTGTACTCCCCATCAGTAATGTAGAAGGGTTCCTGTTTCCCACAGGCTTTCTACTACTGGGTATGATCAAGTTTTGAGATCTTTGCTCATCTTAATGGGGATCAACAGTACTGTCAACATATGAAACTATTGTTAAGAACATCTAGTCAGGTGCTGGTGGCTCACGCCTATAATCCTAACTACTCAGGAGGCTGAAATCTAAGGATCACAGTTCAAAGCCAGCTAACGGAGGAAAGTTCATAAGACTAACCTCCAACTAACCACCAAAAAGATGGACAGTGGATTTCTAGGCTTGAGCAAATCTTGTACTCAAGGACAATTCCTAGGCCCTGAATTTAAGCCCCAGGACTGGCACAAAAATAAATAAATCAATGAACAATCATCTTTTTATATTTAAAAACTATATTTCCTTTTTATGATGCATTTGTTCATGCCCTTTGTCCATTTGTCTGTTGATTAATCTATTTGACTCTGACCTTTTCCCTTGCTCCATGATAATCAAGGGACTAGGGCCTCTGTTGAAAAGCTTTGAGTTCATTGAATATTGGATGTCAAAGATGTCTATTGGATGAAACTTACTGATTTAGTTCTTAATGGTCTTGCAGGTATTTCGTGGTCCATCAAAGAGACTGCTGGTAATAGTGGGTCAACACACGATGGACGTGAACAGATAAAGGGCCGAAACAGCTTCTCCTCCTATGCACAACTACCCAAACCGGCTTCTACTTACTCCCTGAGTAACTTCTTTAGAGGTAAAGAATGATGGTTAAGGAACAGCAAAGTCTTTTTTTTGTTCTGAAAAATGCTCAGGCTGTACTTTTCATTTACTTAGGAGGAAAATGATTATTGAAAGACAGTAATCTATCATTGGAGTTGGTGGCTAAGTATTAGAAAGGGGAAAAGTGAGAGAAATTCACAAGCTTTAGAATGGATTTCTAGGACATGATGAATAAAGTTGGCATTATCCCTGTGATAGATACTGAACAAGTTTGCCTAGATCAAAATTCCTCCTTACCTCTTAGGCAGTGTGTCTAAGAACTCCTGTGTATTGCTGGTGGGAATGCAAAATGGTGTGGTCACTAAGGCAATTTTCTCAAATATTAAACATAAACCTACCATAAGACCCAGCAGTTTCATTTTTACATAACAGAAAGAACCGGGAGCAAGGACTTCAACAGATATTTCTTTTTTTTTTTTTTGGTCCGGTCATGGGGCCTGAACTCTGGGCCTGGGCACTGTCCCTCAGCATTTCAGCTCAAGGCTAGCGCTCTACCACTTGAGCCACAGCGCCACTTCCGGCTTTTTTCTTTTTGCTTATGTGGTGCTGAGGAATCGAATCCAGGGCCTCAGGCATGCAAGGCAAGCACTCTACCACTGAGCCACCTTCCCAGCCCCTTCAACAGATATTTGTATACTGTTTATAGCAGCATTGTTCACAATAGCCAAAGATGGGAGTGGCCCATTTTGTCCACTCAGGGATAAAATTTGGGAATATATATGCAGTAGAATATTATTTAGTTATGAAAAGGTATAAAACTCTGATACGTGCTTTGATATGGAACCTTGAAGACATACTAAATCAAGTAAGGACACCGAGGACAAATGTTTTGTGACATGTTTATATGAGATAACTAGTATAGGCAGAGACAATGAGGACACTGTGTCCTTAACCCAGTCTGATGGCTTTGACTTGAGCTCTCTTGACCTCTTCTCTCATTACTTATCCTTAGGTAGAACTAGACCTGGAAGTTTCCAGTCTCTTTCTGATGGTAAGTATTGTTTCCTTTCTCTTGATTGTTGTGGGAGTTGTGGTACAGTCTGGGGAGTTTGGAGACATGTTATTAGATGACTAAATGAATTTTCTTCTAAATAACATTATTAGAGGAAAAAAATTTTTTTTGCAGTACTGGTATTGAACTCAGGGTCTTGAGCTTGCTAGAGGCAGGCTCTCTTCTACTTAAGCCATGATTCCAGCCCATTTATGCATAGTATTTTCAAGATAGAGTCTTACTTTATGGCTGGGCTAGCCTGGGCTGTGAATCCTACTATTGGTGCTTTCCTGCATATGCTGCGGTGTCCAGACATTATGCTTCCCCCATAGCTGAGATACAGGCATACTCCATATGCCCTGCCATTGGTTATGATGTGACCTTGCAGACTTTTGTGCACTGGCTGGCCTGAACTACTATGCCCATCTCTAAAGAAATTTTTTGATGGTGAAGTAGAAATCACAGCTGGCACCAGTGGCTCACGCTTATAATCCTAGCTACTCAGGAGGCTGAGATCTGAGGATTATGGTTCAAAGCCAGCCTGGGCAGGAAAGTCTATGAGACTCTTATCTCCAATAAAACTACTTAGAAAAAGCTAGAAGCTGTGCTGTAGCTCAAGTGGTAGAGTACTAGCCTTGAGCAAAAGAAGCTCAGAAATAGCCCAAGCCCTGAGTTCAAGCTTTAGGATTAACAATAACAACAAAAGTAGAAGTCAGGCTACAGGAGCAAGAATTGACTTAGGGAAGAACTGTGATCTGCTTCTGTCCAGAAAGATACCTTGGGAGGGTAAAAAAAAAAAAAAAAAAGGCTGAAAAAAGACATGTGTATTGAGTTCTGATGACTCATGCCTGTCATTTTAGCTACTTGGGAGGCTGAGATTTTGAGGATTGTGGTTTGAAGCCAGTCTAGCAGGAACATCTGTAAGACTTTTATCTTCAATTAACCACCAAAGAGTCCTAAGTGGAGCCATGGCTCAAGTGTTAGAGTGCTAACCTTGAGCAAAAAAACTCAAGGACAGCATCCAGGTCCTGAGTTCAAGCCCTGGGACCAGCACAAGCAACAACAACAACAAGAAGTGAGAAAGAGGCAATAGAGGAAAATTACAGAAACGGTACTTATGATGTCTTTCTGAGCCAGTTGCCTCATTTTTTTTTCAGCTTTGTCAGATACACCTGCCAAAAGTTATGCTCCAGAGCTGGGGAGGCCCAAGGGGGAATATAGGGTGAGTTATATCTTAATACTGGGATAATGCTTTACACAGTAGAAAGAACTTTGGCATATATTGCCTTAATTTCTGCAACTCTTCAAGCATTCTTAGAGTCACGGATCATTTAACTCCAGGGACATATGAGAAATGCATTGCTTAAGTGATTTTATCATTGCACAACCATCATGGGTATACTTAACTAGATAGTCAAGCCTTTTACACATCTAGGCCATATGATATAGCTTTATTGTCTCAGGGCTATAAATCTGTACAGCATGTTACTGTACCCAATACTATAGGTAACTATATCATAATGTCAGTATTTGTATAGTTAAACATAGAAAAGGCACAGTAAAAGTATTAGGCAGGCCTGAAATGATGCTGCATGCCTGCAATCCAAGTAATAGGGAGGCAGAGGAAGGAAGATCATGTATTCCAGGCTCTCCGAACTAGATAGGAAGACCCTGTCTTAAAAAAATAAAATAAGTTGGGATTGGGGGGGGAGGGGGGAGGCTGGGAAGGGATGTGAAGGGTAAACCAAAGGAGGAGGTTGCAATGCTTGGTAAGAAATGTACGCATTATCCTGCCCATGTAATTGTAACCCCTCTGTACAGTATGTTCACAAATAAAAAATAAATAAATTAAA